TTTGCTCTAATGACCATCCGACCTAATAGCCATTGAGCTTAATGACCATTCGGCTTAGTGACCATTCAGCTTAATGACTATTCGGCCTAATGACCATATGGGCTAATGACCCTTCGGCCTAATAACCGTTTTGTGTTGTGAATGGCTGTTCAGTCTCGACAAAATCAAAATACTGCTATTTAATTTTTGTCCAACGTTTCGGTCCGTTTGGGACCTTCTTCAGGGACTCTAAAATTGTTTATTAACATTTTAGTTGTTTGAAAATGTGTTTTAATAATTTTTACAAAATTTGTTATTTTTACCAATTTTTACAGTTTTCTCGTCTAGTGTGGTTCTGTGGAACCTGAAGATGTCCCGAGGTCAGAGTTTTCCCGCTCAAACACAAACGGTACGAATTCATTTATCCGTCGAAAACCCTTTCCAATTTCTACGCTCTGGAATTCAGTACACGGCACTAGAATGATCACCATTGCTTTTTTACCCAGTCCGTAGTGTTTGTGTGATCATTCCTCAGCTGATCAATACGTGTGTGTGTGTGTGTTATAAACTTGCTTGTAAATTGCCTGTGTTTGCGTGTATTTAGCTATCCACAGTTTGTTTTGATTTTGGTTTTCAGTTTCTCCCATTCCGATTGTTTTTCAGCCAATGTAGAACTCCTGCATATGCGACGTGAAGATTGTCGGTGTCCGTCCGTTTGTTGACTGTATTTTTTGTGTTGTGAATGTGGCAGCTCTCCAGGATGGGTGGATTGTGTGATTTGTGTGTTGTGTCCATTATTTTCGTCTCTTCTAACTTAAAGTTGTGTTCCGTTCGGGCTGCATGGTTGACAATAGCGGTTGTATCCCATATCGCTTGGATTGCTATATCGTTCGTTGTGTGTCCCGCTTTTTTTAGTGTTTGTAGCTTTTTGAGATTAGACTTGTGTTTCGACAACCGTGTTTTCAACTTTTGTGTGGTCATACCAATATAGCAGGCATTACAGTCAGAACAATCTATTTTGTAGACAACATTACTGCGTTCATCTACTGGTGTTGGATCTTTCACCCGTGGTAGGAGGGATCCAATGTTTTTGTGCTGACTGCTAGCTATGTTTACATTCGGATATTCCTTCCGTAGTGTTTTCGTTAGAGTTTGAGACAAACCCCTAATATTAGTGAGTGAGCGGAATGTTGTTGTTGTATCTTCATTGCTGCTCACTTCCATAGCTGTTTCTGTTTGCCTGTTTCCACTGACCCTGTTTATTACGCGATTAATGATATTCGCGGGATAATCATTGATCCGTAAGTGTGCAAAAATAATGGATTTTATCTTTTTCAGGCTCAGGTTAGTAGAGAAAAGTATGACCCGCTTGGCAAAATTGGACGCTACATTAATTTTTAGTGACATTGGGTGCCCTGAATGGAAATTTAGGAACCTACCGGAAGCAATCGTTTTAGTATACCATTCCGTTCTGATCATGCGATCCTCTCTTCTAACGAGTACCATATCCAGAAATGGGAGGCGGTTGTTTTCCTCCTTCTCAACCGTGAACTGCATGTGTTGATCCTGCTGGTTGAAAACATTTTGGACTTCTGCTACTTTGTCAGTGGGAAGGACTAGGAATAGGTCGTCGACATATTTCCTAAGGAACGGGATCGCGATGACACTTGATGCTACCGCATCGTCCAGGAGGTCCTCCATCACGTAGTCTGCAATGATGGGAGACAGTGGGTTGCCCATCCCTGTGCCAAACGTCTGTCGGTAGTAAGCTCCCTCGAAAACAAAGTAGCTGCAATCGATGCAAAACTCCGTAACTTCCCAAAACAGGTCCAAGCAAATCGCTGTGTTTTTCCCAATGTCGTCCCAGTGCCGGAAAATGCTCCTCTTGACAAGACTTTTTGGGATAGAGGTAAACAGTGCCACCACGTCAAACGATACCAGAATATGTCCCTCCGGAAGCTCGATAGAGTTAACATATTCACAGAACCCAAACGAATCCTTGATGCTGTATTTACTGACCAGCGAATTTTGCAGGATTTTGCCCACATATTTGGACAGTTCGTATGATGGTGCTGTCATACAGGGCACGACAGGTCGTAATGGTAAACCTGGTTTGTGTGCCTTCGGTTGTCCGTAGATCTTTGGGCAAACCGCTCTGTAGGTCTTCAGTTTCGAGGCAAGATTTGGGTCCAGTAAGTGTAGATCTTAGAGTCGTTTTACAATGGTGTTGTTTTTGTTTTGAAAAGTGCTTGTGGGGTCTTTCGCTAACCTTAGGTATGTTCGATCGTCCTCTAATAGGGTCTTCATCCTGGTCGTGTATTGCTCCCGTTCCATTACCACAGTTCGGTTACCTTTGTCTGAGTTTACGACAATTATCTATGGATGGGTCTTGAAGAACTCCCTGGTGTGCTGCTCCGCATTCCTGTAGAAATTCGTTGCAGGGTCATTGGTGCCACCGTGTTGAGCCCTATGTAGGTAGTTTTGTATCTGGTTTGCCACTGAGCATCGCGTTCGTTCTTGAACCGCCGTATCGTCATTGGTCCTGATAACGGACTCCACATCGGCAATGAGATGATACATCGGAACTTCGGACAGGTTTTTGTGCGGTAATGCGAACTTAGAGCCAAGGCTCAGAAGATGTGATGCCCAGTACAGTACTTTCGGTCTAATGACCTTCGGCCTAACGACTTTCGTTCTAATGGCCTTCGGCCTAACGACTTTCGGTCTAATGACCTTCGGCCTACTGACCGTTCAACCTTATGACCTTTGGACTATAGATACTGTAGATTCCATAAATAAGCGGAGGCAAAGTATAATGTAGCCAAACGAACTGTTAGTTAGTGTATCCAAACGAGCATGACGTCATCATACTGTTGTTTGAGGGAGAAGTATTGTAATATTATGAGCACAAAACGCTTTCCACACTCCACATTCCGATTTATTTCTCGGACAACGGAAGAAGGATAGGTAAAGTAAACCATTCCTCGATTCATTGTTGCAAAGCTTTGAACTTCATTTTGAACTTTTGCGCACGAAACAAAACTGCACAACGAAGAGCTTTATGATGGCATGAACTTTTTTCACAGATGCCAGTAAGAGATTTATTTTTCATGGTTGCCAGCCAAAACATCTTTTTTTTACCTACGCTTATCTATTAAATGTATAGTATCTATACTTTTGACTAATGATCTTCGGCCTATTGACCTCTGGTCTAATGGCCTTCGGCCTAATGACCGTTCGTCTTTATGGGATTCTTTAGAGCAAGATAAAAATAGATATAGAGAATTAACAGAGAGAGATTGGATAGAGAAAAACTCAAAAAAGCAGCTGAAACAATTTATAAAGATAGTTCAAGCGAAACATCAGACGGGGAAGCTACGGATGAAAACGAGACTGAAGAATAAATACAAAGATTGGAAAATAAAATTCAAGAGGAAATGAAGCCAAGATATGCAAGACGAAATTCAAGTAAAGATATGTAGCGATAAAGGTAAAATGAACAAGTTTATGTGAAATTCATACCAGTTAAAACAAAAATAAATAAAGACATGGGCTGCACACTACTTATGAGAGATGACAAACGAAATGGTTTCAATAAAAAAAAAATATATATACATGGTAAGATCGTTCCAAAAAGTTACCTTAAAGGTAAGTGACTATTATTGATGAATCATTATATAAACATAAATACAAAATGGAAGGGAGGGTCCAACAGGGAAACCGATTGAAGCTATTTGGATAGGGAGAGTGGGATTGCCAACTTCCTGTTGCTAACATTTCGTGGATAGAGGGCGGGCTCTTCTCCACACTCATGGGGCATCCTTCAGAACGAGGGCTTGTTCCATTGCGAATTATATGATCTTGATTGCTGGGAAGGAGATTCTTATTCTCTTCCCGGTGGGTTTCGTGTGGGAGTTTCTGCTTACGGGTCCACCTCTCCGTTTTTGGTGCTTCATACAGCGCCAAGCTGACTATGATTTGTCAGTGGGATTTGATCGAGTCGTTCCGATTGGATTGCCCATTGCTATGTGCAGGCGCCTTGCTACATGAGTGGTAGTCTCAATCATCATCATCATCATCATCATCGGCCTAATGACCGTTCGTGCTTATGACCTTTGGACTAATGAATCGGTAAACGTATTTTTTTGGTTGATTTCCCGGGAATGGTTTCCCGATTTGTCACTAGATTGAGAATTTTCATGTACTCTCCAAAATTCGCCTTGCCCACTAAATTCCATTCAAACTTTATCTGCCCTGCTGTGCCGTACAATGTTTGCTCATTGGTTTGTGTTTGGCTGTAACGAAATTACAGTTGTGTCCTTGTCCTGTTGGTTTTAAGGAACCACCAAATAATCAAAACTGACCCAGCTACCTTCCAACACCCCGTCCCAGGTGGGTCACTCCGGAAGGAATCCTGAAAGGAGCTGCCATCATTCTGACGAACGTGGAACAAACTCAAACTGACAGGCGAAAATATTATTTTCTCGAAAACCACATCCGAGCTATACACAGCAGCCAGCAACAACAACAACATCAACAACAACGGGAGAAACCCGAAACCTGGCCAAATGATAGGTATCGTATAGTTTTCCAGACAAATATTTTCCAGGAAAACTCATCCGTACACGTAGACACGCACGCACGCACTGACGCACGTTCTCACATGTCGGGATGTTTTTCTGATGTGACCAAAACTCCCATCCCACCACCCGGGACCAGGAACCTTGGGTCGACTGAAGTTGGAGGAGGGGGAAGAGACAGAGAGAGAGAGAGTAATTTAATTATGACAGCCAAGCTCAGGACAGCTCGTTCGTTGCTCGATTCCATCCTTCCGAAAATAAACAACCCATGAACAACAATCTGTCAATCACGTGGAGGTGAGTGCGAAAACATCCGAAGGTTGATTTTGAAGCAGTTCAGTGTAAGTTCATTGAATTTTTCCATCAACATTTTTTCGGATATTTGACTGCGCCTGGTAGGTAGGCAACTGTAATGTATTTTTTTGTATCACTAAAACTTACCTTTTTGTCGTTCTTGTACCAGGTGAGCGTGGCCAGTGGGTTGCCTCCGGTTGAAATGCAGCCCAGCTTCTGGACGGATCCGGCCGGTATGATTAGGCCTTCCTCGTAGCCGGAAATTATCGGCGAGCTGGGAGGTACTGTTTTTGGAACGGATAGAAAAAAATAAACACGGAACATTAGAATGTGTGCGCCCGTTTTGATGGGCGGACTGGACATGACGTGCGATGAATTATTAATGATGGAAACAATGGGCAGCGGAATTTTGCCGAGGGATTTCCGAGGAATGGGGATTTTCGGATCGTTTTTGTGATAAAGGTCACTTCCACTGGACGGTGGTCGGGTGGATCAATTTTGGTTTGTTTTTCAGGGAAAAACCATGCGCGAATGAGTTTATTTGTGTTGCATTTAAAAGTATGATCACATGAAATGAAGGTAGCATTAAGCTTCTCACTGGATGGAACGGTGCGTTGCAGGCTGCCGTAATGGAATTTCCAGATGGGCTTTGTGCAACAATTTGTGGAATTGAGAATAGTTTGCTATGCTGATGACACATTCAGTTATTATTCTGGTGTAGGCAACGTTGCTAATTTGTTAATAGAAGTACGGAAAGCAAATAACTTTAACATTAACTTCCACAGAATGCTTCGTAGCCATCTCAAAGATGTTTGGAAAGCGTCTCATAGCATTCTAGGCTAGTTTATAAATCTATAGGAGAGCTTCTCAGGTTTCAACATTTTATAATGGGATACTTTTCACAATATTATGACAGTTATTTTCTGGTAAAAATTGATCAGTTTCATGACGAGAACGAAAACCCGCTTCACTAAATCGCAATTTTTTACTCCTCTCGTGGGACCGAAACTTTAGTGAAAAACAAACACCACCCGTCTCATTTTCTGCGAGATAAACAATCCCGTCTACTTTCAACTCCTCATGCATTAATTCATGGAAATGATCCAGGGATCAAGCAAAGCGTAAAAATACGCCGCTTCTCCTATCGCGTGGTTTGCAACCCTTGATGAATCCTCTCTTTTTCTAATTTTGGAAAAAATCCCCAACGCAGGAACTGATTCGGTCCCAGAATGTAATTAAAAGCATCGACGCCAGACGCATAAATTGCTGAGAGTGTGTGAGTGTGCCCGCGCAATGGACTACCGTTACGCTGTCAGTTTTGATCTCACAACTGCTGACAGCATGGCGCCACCTTCCTATGGGGAAAAAAAGTTATTCAACAAAATAATGTATGATGATTTCGATTTTTTTTTGGGAAAAATATCGTTTAAGAAGCGAAAACTGACCAAATATTTAGCAGGTTAAGAATTAAAATCACAAAGTGTACCAAATATTTTCTTCGTAAAAGGTTCTAATTTTATGAAGACAACATTTTCCGGTTCTCTTAACTTATTTTTACTAGCGACATCTGTTGGGAAAATCAACTATGCTGGAAATTCATTCCAATAACGACAACAAACACATCAACAACAACGAGGAGGAGGACAAACAAACAAACGCGGAATGGCGTCCTTCCTTTTGCATCCAGATATAAGTTGCTCCTAATTAGCATGCAAATCAACTTTCGCACGCTGACTGGTGGAGCATTCGTGGCGGATTTTTGGTGTGTGTTTTGACTGTTTGTTTTTCTCGATGTTCTTTAAAATTTATTGAAGACCGCATATTCAAATGCATCCGCATTATTTTTACTGGAAAATTTCCACGTGGATTTCACACGAATGAATCACTTCATTCGAGCAGTTCAAAATAACGTTTCTTTCCTTCCACGCGATCTTCACAGAAGGAGCAATATTTTGAGTAGTTGTCTTCTAGAGCTTCGAGCTAAAAGGGTTTCATTTATGATATGCCTGAAAAGTCTGAAATTTATTGCCACCGTTTCTTGAAATCTCTGGTAGAAGTATGCCCCAAAACTGCTCGACTATTTGATTAATTGCAAAATCACATGGAAATAATGTGTCCAATGTAATCTATAAATGAGCATTTCCAGGACAAACAGCAAAAACAAGAATAAATTTTAGGCTTGACCTTATACGATTTGTATGAAACTTTGCATGATTGTTTGACAAAACTTGGTCAATCATTCACATTTGAGCAAAACATTCGGCCATTTTGAATCTCATGAAAACTTCAAAATGGCGTATTCAAAAATTTTCAACGAATTCGTCGAAACCGTCACTTTCAATCGATGTCTAATACTAAGTTGTAGGAAAAAATAACCGCTTTCCGAAAATAACTATACACGCTTAAAAGTTTCAAGTAATTTTGGGTAAAAAATCCAAAAGAATGTTCAATCAACCCTCTTGCATACCATTTTAATATTGTTTATTAAACAGTATGAACAATGATATTTTTGGATAAAATTTCAAGTACGACACTTAAAAATTAACAAAAATCATAAAACAACAGCTTCTGGTAAAAGTTTCGATTTATTTTTTTTTTTGTAAATTTTTGCCCAGAAAGCGATTTTGGATTTTGCCCTACACAATGGTTTTCGGTGCAAACATTTACAAAAATTGTTTAAACAAAATTTTTGAATGTTTGTTTGATGGTCAATGATTTTTGTTAATTTTTTAGGGCCCAATTTTTTATAAGCTTTTTTAATGACAAATATTCAAAAAATATTCAAATCGGTAAATTTTTGATATTTAAGTTTGAAAGTTTTTCCGTGTAGGGTTAACTACCCCTTTTTGCGGCCTACTAAGCACAGCCTGCACTTAGTCTTTCTTAATCTTGCGTAGTTTAGCCATACACGGAATGTAATTATTACTGATGGCTTCCAAATTTATTTACCATTCCGTACGCATCGTAATATTTGAAAAAGAGAAACCAATCGTTGAGATATTGTTAAAAGTCTAAAACTGCTGCTTGACGCCAAACTCGGCCTACGGATTTTGAACTCGGCCTAACGCATTGAAACGCCAATGAATTCACTTCGGCCTATCGGATGAAGATAAACATTGATTCGGTCGGAGCGCTTCTTTTGTTTTTGGGAATAATAGGTGCAAACCTTCATACCACGCGTTCTCACTGACTTCGTTCCGTAGCTTATTAACTAAAGTATCGTACCAAAAGCATAATTGACTTATTAACTCAGAAATCATGGATTTATTTGAAGTTTTCTGCTCGATAGGCCCAAAATGGGCGATTAAAGGGCGAACACGAAATTATTGCGACACATTCAACAGGGCATAACTTTTTTACCATTGGGTAAAAATCAACCAAATTTTGCACACTTTCTCATTGATGTGTATTGTGTACATGCTGTCAAACTCGAAGTCGTGTTTTTCGATTCAACTAAAATGAAGGTGAACCAACGCGAGTTGAGAGAACAAATTCTTTCCAAACACCTGGAATTTCCTGACCTGTCGCACCGGCAGTTGGGAAAAATGTTGAACATTCACCATTCAACCGTCTCCAGAGTGTTGAAGCGGTTCCAGGAGCGGGGAAAGGTGAAGCGGATGATTAAAGCAAATCCCAACGTCTCAAGCCGTGATTTGGCTAAAAAGATCGGCATGTCGCAGAGCTACGTCCAGAATGCAAAGAAGAGAGCTGGACTACATACATACAAGGTACAGAACTTCCCAAACCGCGATGAGCGGCAACAATCGACGGCTAAAACTCGGGCACGGAAGCTCTACGAGAAGATGCTGACAAAATATGGCTGCTGTGTGATGGACGACGAAACGTATATAAAATCCGATTTTAAGCAAATTCCGGGGTTGGAGTTTTCACCGGCAAGAGCAAGTTCGATGTGGACGACAAATTTAAGAAGAAGAAAATGTCGAAGTTCGCCTCCAAATATCTCATTTGGCAGGCCATCTGCTCTTGCGGACTGAGGAGTGAGCCTTTCGTGACAAAGGGCACAGTAAATGGCGAGATCTACAAATCTGAGTGCCTCGAGAAGCGCCTTTTGCCGTTCTCGCAGCAGCACGACGAAGCTCCGCTATTTTGGCCAGATTTGGCATCATGCCACTATTCTAAAAGTGTCCTGGAGTGGTATGAGGCCAATTCTGTCCATTTTGTTCCAAAGAACATGAATCCGCCAAACTGTTCGGAGCTGCGCCCGGTGGAGCAGTACTGGGCAATAATGAAGCGGGAACTTCGGAAGAGCAAGAAGACAATCAAAGACGAGAAGGACATGTTAAGAAAATGGAAAAAAAATCTGAGAAACTGGTACCGGATGACACTGTAAAGACTTTGATGGAGGGCATCAAGCGAAAATGCGTTCAATTTTACACTCAAGGCTCCATCGATTAACTTTTCTTTTGATTTTTGAAGTAAATATATGTATAAAACTACCCTAAAATTTTGGTTTGATTAATACATGAACATTATAAGAAAATTGGCATGACATTTTCGATGTCGCAATAATTTCGTGTTCGCCCTTTAAATGGCACCGAACCGATAAAGACTGACTTCGTCAGTGATTGCATGTGCCCGTGGAGTGACAGTCGGCGAAACTAAACTTAAACTAGCATATCCGAAAAAAAGACAGAGTAGCTAATACCTGTGCCTGTGCACTGTTGGGGATTCTAGTGGGGAATCCAACTCGGCTTTAGGGAACTGAGCGAAAATTATAGGTTGTGTTTCAAAATGATGATTTGACACATCCGCTGAGCAGGCGCAGAGAAAGTACAGTGTTGCCAGTAACTCAAAAAATCATATATGTTTCCTACCATGGGTGCTAAACTTTGTCAATTAGCGTGCCTATGTGTGCCAAAATCTGATATTGGAAAACTGTGCGGAGTGTCCAACCTCTTGCTCTAATGTGAATGATTGACCATAACAAACAAAATTTTCAAAGATTCATGCAAATCAGATCGATTTGTCATTTGGCGTGGAAATGCTCAAATCTCTTGGAATTCATGGGCTCACATGAATGCTATGTTAAATATAGATAAATATAATAAATCTCGATTAATTTTTCAAATTGACGTATCAGCTTTTGTAAACAATGCATTTGATTGTCGATTTGGCGTAGCTGGTAGCTCGTCCATAATTGCTAACACTACCATCAGATAGGGGAAATTGTTCCCTACCTGGTAATGGTGTTAGTAAGCGTGTGCGAGCTACCAGTTACGCCAAATCGACGATCAAATGCATTGTTTACAAAAGCTTATACGTC